ATATATCACGTCATTAAGAATAAAAAATTTAAAAAATAATAAAAATAAAGAAAAATAACATAAACCCACGTCAATTTATTGAAATGTATAAGATCAATACACAAATTTTTAATTTGATAATAAAGCCACTGGATTTAATTATTCCCAATTATCCATATAAAAAAATAAATTAAATTGTAATTTTCTAGGGGTGGACGTTTCGGGTTTCGGTTCGGTATTCAAGCGGTTCGGTTCAGGAACGGTATTTTCGGTTTTATAAAAAGTGTACCAAACTAGAACCGAATGTTAAACGGTTCGGTTCGGTTTTAGTATCGGTTCGGTTCGGAACGGTACCATTATATGAATACTAAATAAGTACCGCACTATAATATTTACACATATATTATGGAATATTCGAATTTTGGTTCAGAATTTATGCGGTTCGGTTCGGTATTCATACGGTTCGGTTCAGGAACGGTTCATTCGGTTTCATAAAAAGTGTACCAAATTAAAACCAAACGTTATTCAGTTCGGTTCGATCCGATTCGGTTTCGGAACGGATCGGGTCGGTACTAAATTCCCGAACCGAAGTGCCCACCCCTACCCTACAAATTTCCACGGGGATTTTTGGTGGCAACATGACATACTACCTCATAAAATTAGCCACACGTCATCAAATCGCTTCACTCAAAACGGTGTAGAAATCAATTCCGGTTTTTATTTAACCGGATTTAAAAAAAATAGGATTTAGGGTTTCGACCCTTTCCAGCTCTCTAAGATATCATCTCTCTCTCTCACAAATCAACCGTTCTTCGTCTTCGTTCTTGGTTTGTAATGACAGACTGAATTTTGTATGGAGATGTGAAGAAAAATCCTACCTTTAAAAATGCATCAGACCCTACTTTTGAAAAAAGAAAGATTTTTTGCATCTGGGTTTTAAACATTACTTTTAAAAAATGTTGAGATTTCCAATGCCAGAGGTGCATAATTGAAGAAGGGATTTATAAAAAAAATTGGAACTCATTGCGAAGATACGAAGAAAACTTTAAAAACAGATTGTTATTTTTTTCATCTGGGTTTTTAGAAAACGACATCGTTTTGCGCCGAAAGCTGAAGAGTCAAGGTCAAGGCCAAGCTCCGACATCAAAGAGGAGTCCCGCCGTCATCACTAGCCACCAGAGCTTTTGCGCCGAAAGCTGAGGAGTCGTCGAGCAGAGGAGAGGATGTGAGGAGAGGAGAGTCGCCGGCGAACGATGAGCACCACCGAGACCGTTGGATACGACCGACGACCGGTCAATGGAGGAATTTTCTTGCAGAGGAGGAGAGGAGAGGAGAGGAGAGGAGCTCAGAGGAAAATTTGTGATTTCATTTTTTTCTGACTATCGAACCCTAAATCTCATTTTTTGTTTTAAAATCCGGTTAAACCAAAAAAATCGGAATTGATTTCTAAACCGTTTCGAGTGAACCGATTTGACGATGTGTTCGGTGATGTGTCTCGTGATGTGGCTAATTTTACGGGACGGCATGTCATGTCATCATCCGCATACTGAATTGGCACCGAAAAGCGAAAATCCCCTTTATGGGAAATTGCAATTTAATTTGTTTTTTTTTTTGCGTGGGTAGTTAAGAAAATTTGAAATCAAATAGGATTTATGTCAAATTAAAATTTTGTGTATTAATTTTACATATTTGAATAAATTGGTGTAGATTTATGTCATTTTCCCTAAAAATAATAAAACTAATTAAAAATAATAAAAATAATTAAAAAATACAATACATATTTATACGCAAATACATACATTCATATATGTATATCTATATATATACGTACGTATATATATAGATATATTGTAATTTTTAATTATTTTTTATTACTTTTTATTATTTTTTATTATTTTTTTTAAAAAATTATTCCGATGTGATACAATAATCCTGTGTATGATTTGGTAACGCCGTTAATAAATGTATTGGGTTGTCCGCTTTAAATATAAGCAAAAAAGAGAAAGGGGTCCATCAATTCTTCTTCGCACTTAAAACACATCTTTTGACAATTGAGAACCTCATTTCTTCCACATGTGTGCCCGCGTTTTTTATTTTTCATGTAAATCCATATTCTCCAAATTAATAGTTTTCGTAGATATTTTTAAATTTTGAATTAATGAAAAACGATAATTTTACCTCAACAATTAATTCTTAAAAAAATTACTTATCACCTAAATAAATTTTTGTAATCATGGTTTCTGACACGAATAATTAACTCTTCCAGTTTTTTACAAAAACTTTACAATTTCATCTCTTGTTTACATTTCTTTTAAAAATATATATCAAATACCAATACATAAAAAAAGTCATAAAATTTGATGTCTCTCGTGCCCAAAATCTAGGATTTAAAAGGGAATATGTAATTAAAATGATGATAGCAACTTATTTTATTTTTATATTTTATTAATTAATTTTACTGGTTTTATTTTGGATTGGTTAGAGGTAAAAGGAAATGTATCCCATGAATGAAATGAAATTAGTTCTTGATGTGAAGGTTGTAATCCCCACTTCATTCATTTAATGCTTTGTCTTTAGTCTTAATCATATTAGCCACTTTAATTATACATATAATTATATTTTAAAGACACATTTTTTATTCATTATTTCAAGATGAAGTTATTAAGTAGAGATGCTCATAAAGCAGATCGCTCCGGTAGTGTTAAATGGTCTTCTCACATTGTCATGTCTATTAGATATGTTCCACTAAAATTATCGTTATTATTTTTTTTCACAAAAACGGGAAATAACTTTTTCTTGTACATAAAATTTGATTTTTTTATAAAAAAAATATTCATTTCAAAATTCAAGATTCAAGTCATGGTGTATATATCGATATTTATTTTTTTAGCATATACTTATTTTAAAATAATTTTAACTAGCAGCATACGAGGGGCAGATTAACATGGCATATACTTATTATTATTAAAAAAACCATGGAATTAAAGTTTAGGAATTTATATATTTTTTATTTTGTAATATGATTAACGAAAGAAGTAGATTTGAAGGCACTCGAATTTGGACATTAGTGTGAGTGAAAGGTCAGCGTCAGTTTCTGAACATTTGAAAACACTTCAAGAAGACCGACTAACCAGCAGCCACACGTGTGCCGTGTTCAATCAATAGTAATAAATAATTTACAATGAATTTTTTCCCTTTTCTCTCTCCTAAATTTTCCGTATTTAATAAAATTTGGTATATAATTTTTGTTGTGCCTAAAGATAAAATAACCAATACATTTTCTCCGTTACATATTTTTCCCTCTATTTTAGTATTAATATGTCTGCGTATGTAATGTCCATTTTCTATATATATATATATATATATATATAATGCGTGAATATATATATGTATGGGTGAGAAAAAAGGAAAAGTCCGACACCAGTTATTGGACACACGTCTCATGAACATGAGATTCTACGATGTCAGAGTCAAACGAAATAGGGTTTTATTTTCTATTTGTTTTGTATAAATAAAATAAAATTAGTTGGAACGACTTACTTTGTATTTTTCTATCCATTTTTTTCCTAACCAACCTAACCTTCTCATTCATTAAATCCCAGCCAACTTTGAACTAAATTTTAAAATGAAACAAGGAGCAAATATTAAAATTTATGTCGGACAATTGATATATTTTAAATTTTGGCGTAATAATAATTAACTTGATTTTTTTATAGAAAATAATCATCTATAAAGATATTACTATTCAATATTTTATTCCATATCAGTTGTATAGTCTTTTACATTATATGTAAAATATATAATATTTTTCTACTCCTGACAAACAACATTCATGTTAAATAATCTATACACATAAAAAAATAATAATTTTTATCAAAAAAAAAAAAAATAATAATAATAATCACAGTATTTATAATAAGATGATTTAATAATATTATAAAATATTTAAAATAAATTATATTCTACTTTTATTATATACTTGTTTATATAAAAATTTAAATTTATCATATCATATTTTTATATAATAAATAATACCATCTCAAACTTTAAAAATATTCTTCCATATGATTTATTCTATCGTTTTATTTAAAATTTATACAATTTTTATCTTATTCAAAATCATGAAATATATAAAATTGATATATATATAATAAATTTTAATAATAGGATGAATAATTATAATTTTTCATAGTAAATATTTTTGGACAATAGTATATACTTTCAAAAATTTTCTAATTTTTATTTAAATATATATTATTTTTTTATTGAATAAAATAAAATAAATTTTGATTTAAAATATAATATATTTTAGTTTAAACATAGTTTTAAACTAATTTTAAAAATGATATTGAAATTCTTAAACGAAATAATTTTTTTTAAAGAGACGACTAAATTCTAAAAGTAAATTAAAATAAAATTTTATATAAATCGGAAATGTACGTTGAAAGTGTGAAACAATGTAAAGAGACCTCACGCGCTTTGCCATCTACGTTGATGATCACTCGCCATAAATTGCTCCAAAAAAATTTGACACGTGTCTTATCCCGCCATGGCCCACTTCTTGCATGCCTAGTTGGCACAGCTCCCACCACTGCCTAACATAACATAACATAATATAATATAATATAATGTAATATAATATAATATAATATAATATAAAGTTTGATGTGAAATTATAATTATATGGTAAAACTAGATTAGCATTGAACGAGCAAAATCGATAGTTTAATGCTCAAAAACCTTGGTCATTGGGATATTTTGAGTTTTTTTACCGTTATATTAATATTATATATATAAAATCGTTTTTTAATTGTAAATATTTTGTTGGAGCAGCACTGATTAATTATAATTAAGAATGAAAATATCGTATATTGCATCAAACTAAATTGGGAAGTAGCTATTTTATTATATCCAAATTTGTAATCCAAATCTATATATATTAGGACAAATCTAAAGAGTTGGTTCAACGTCGTAATAAATACACTTGTATTGATTGCTTTGTTTTTTTGATTTTTCCGTTTTTTGACTTCTAATTCCAAATCCCAAAGATAAAAAAAAAAACCCTTTTTGTTCGGCTTCCTCGTTCTCTGTCTTTTCCTCCGTCAAGGCGAAGAAGTTCTCCACCAAAATTATTTTGTCTGTGCCTCAATCCCCCTTCCCAGTCTCTCTCTCCAAAAAAGCAAGCTTCTCTCTCTAAATTTCTGGGTTTTTCTTTTCAGTGTACGTTGCAGATTCTAGCTGATTTTGAGTCAGAGAGAGAGAGAGAGATTACTGGGTTTGTCTATTTCATTGATGTGGAGATCGTGAATGGCAGAATCTGACTGAGTTTTGATCGGGGAGAGAGAGAGAGAGAGAGAGATGGGAGGATGCGTGTCCACGCCAAAGAGCTGCGTGGGAGGGAAATTGAAATTGAGGACTAGTAAGAGAATAAAGACCCGAAAAAGAAGGAAGCTTCAGAAGAAGAGAGTCGTGTCCTCTCGCCTCTCTGACGGATCCTTCGACAACAGCTTCGATCCTTCTTGTCCTTCAGATCATCACCATCCCCACTTCTCTTCTCCCTTCTCCAATCCCACTTTCCGAGGTCTCTCTCTGCTTCTCCCTGTTTTTCTGCTCGAAATCTTTGTTTTTTCATCTGGGTTTCTTCCGGGCATTCGATTGATTTGCTTGAATTTGATATCTGGGTTAGGTTTTATGGTGGATTTCCTTCGTGGGTTTTCAGTTATGTTGCGTACTTTAAGGTTGTCATTTTCATCGCAATGCCAAGGGTAGATCTTGGTTCGTGTATTTCTCCTCTGGCTTTTGATGGATTTCTTCGTGATGTAATGTGTATGTATTGTTGTTTGATCGTGTTTCTATTTCCTCGTTAATTGCATGACGTTTCTGCTGTTTCAGCTCCAATCTTATGGATTAGGTGATGCTAAAAAGGTGGATTCTTCTTGTGCTAATTTATGTCTAAATATTGACGGAAACTGATCTATGTATATCCCATGTGAGACTTTTCCAAAAGGTTTTTGTCATTGTACTGTGAAATTTCCTCAACGGTGAGCACTACGTTCCAAAAAATTTAGAAATTTCCATGATCTTGAAACTTAGTTGACGATCTAAGACACCAATTAATGTTCATGAGGATTTTCATTATCAAGAAGCTGAGTTCTTTGCTCTTCTTTAAACAGCAAGTGTTGATGAAGCGTGGTTCGATTCCAATCTCGCCTTTGAAACCGACTGTGATGAGGATTTTCACAGTGTTCAAGAAGGTAAACTCCATAAACTCATGTTGAATTCACCATGGAACTATTTTCTTTTTCTCCAGTTAGTGCACTAGACTCATCTCTCTTGTGCCTTCAGATGCATTGTCCTTAAACGGAGCCGAGCGTGTGTCAGTTTCAAGTATGTCATCCGTCCGAGACTCCAATGTCGGAAATTCTGCTCGGCGCTCTCATAGTGACTTTCCCAAATCTTCCAATTGCAGTGCCTCAAACCCAGATGATCCCGTCTCCCAACCAAAGTCGGACGGTGCATTTCATGAGACAAAGCAGCCTGTTTTCATTGACGAGATATCTTTGGCTGCTGATGAAAGTTCCCGGAGAGATGAAGGACTAATGGAAAACTGTGGAATCCTTCCGAGCAACTGTTTGCCTTGCCTGCATACAACTGTTCCTTCTGTCGACAAGAGAAGGTCTCTGAGCTCTAGCCCTCCGAGTACAAGGAAAAAAGCTGCCCTGAAACTATCTTTCAAGTGGAGAGAAGGGCATGGTACTGGTGCCTTGTGTAAGTATCGACGATATCGTTGTTTGATTGCGTTTGATTATCCATATTTTGTTGATTTATGGAATGCAAGTTAAAGCAAGAACTTAAGCAGGTCTATATTGTTTCAGTTTCTTCAAAAATGCAGCTACAGAGACCTATTGCCGGGTCTCAGGTTCCATTCTGCCAAATAGAAAAGAAAATTCTTGATTCCTGGTCTGCCATTGAGCCAAGTAGTTTCCGGGTTCGAGGCAAAATGTATTCCAGGTATCCCGGCATAGAACTTCGGTACTAATTTTCATTCATGTTCATCATTCATTGGCAATTCTCTAACGCAAATTATCTTTGAATTGGCAGGGATAAGAAGAAAGAGCTTGCACCAAACTGTGCTGCATATAATCCTTTTGGTGTCGATGTATTCTTAACACAACGTAAAGTAAACCATATATCACAGCACGTGGAACTTCCCGTTGCCAATACCCCGGGAAAACTCCCGACTATTCTCGTTGTAAATGTCCAGGTATTATCATCCGTAACATTATGTTGATGCATGCAATCTCCTAGTTCTTCTTAAGTGTTTCCTTGTTCATTCATGGATCTTACGTTCGAATGTTTTGATCTATGTTTCGTTCTGTTTCCGCTTGGAGCAGATTCCGTTGTATCCAACAGCTATATTTCAAGGCGAAACTGATGGAGAAGGACTGAGTTTTGTTTTATACTTCAAGCTATCAGAAAATTACTCGAAAGAACTTCCACCTCATTTTCATGAAGGCATTCGTGTAAGCCCAAGTGATTTTTTGAACACTCTTGTTTCATGGGCTCGTGTTGAACCGTGTTTTCCGGATTTACAGAAATTAATAGACGACGAGGTTGAGAAAGTTAAAGGCTTCCCTATGGACACAATTGTGCCATTCAGAGAAAGGCTGAAGATTTTGGGGCGTGTTGCAAACGTAGACGATCTTCATCTGAGTGCTGCTGAGAAAAAACTCATGCAAGCTTATAACGAAAAACCCGTCCTTTCACGTCCACAACACGAGTTCTTTTCGGTGAGCCATTCTTTTACGACCCGATCTACGTTCCTTTTGCTCCTCGTTTCTTTCGATTGGCTTACCAGCAAAACCCGGAAATCGTTTTTTTTTTTGGCAGGGCGAGAATTACTTTGAGATCGATATTGATATGCACAGATTTAGCTACATATCCAGGAAAGGTTTCGAAGCATTCTTAGATAGACTTAAACTATGTGTCCTCGATGTTGGCCTCACAATTCAGGTAAAAGTGTTCAAGGTTTTCTTTTCTTCATCTTCCATGAAAACCCGTGTTCAAAGTTGGGATTTTGGGAACATTCTTGTCTTAATCATACCTACAATTACTTGTTTTCCGAACAGGGGAACAAACCCGAGGAGCTTCCCGAGCAGATTCTGTGCTGCATTCGGTTAAACGGGATCGATTACATGAACTACCATCAGTTAGCTATAAATCAAGAACTCCTATGACAATGGTTTCTTTGGCCTGACACAATCGTATGTCAAGTAAGTATATATGTCTGAATCTTGGCTCAGAGGATGAAAATGTGTTCAGAATCTGAATCCACAGTTGTATCAATCGGTAAATGAAATAAGGATTTAGGGTTTTTTCTTACTCCTGCCTCGAGCTCGAAGTTACTTTCCGGGAAAGATTCTGATTCTGTCAGGTTTCTCCTGCCAGCAACAAGCTAGTGTTTCTGGGAAAACCATTGCTGTGATCAATGCTAAGAAGTTTCAGGGCAGAATACATTGTGCAGTAACTTCTCTCCTGGGTTTCGGTTCTTAGCCATGGTTGTCTTTGCTGCGTAGAGTAAGGTTGTCTTGTCCGAAAGTTCTAAGTCTTGCTACAACTCGGCGTTGGGCAAAGTTTTACAGTTGACGATACGTTAAACCTTAATATTTTTTTCAGTGATTTTATTGGATGTAAAACATCAGAATGATTTGATTCCGAAAGATTAGATTATCTAACTATTGTTTCGAAAAAATAAGGAAAATGTTTAATAGTTCTTAATAGTTCTTTTGAAATCTATAAATATTTTAGAAATTATTTATGTCATGGGTTTTTAGAATGAATGTACCAAAGCTGTAAATCATTCACTTTCTAAGTGGAATTAATTTCATTCATAAGATTGGTATTGAGTAAAAATATTATTGACAATTTAGGAAAGACATCATACAGTTAAACAGAGATACTAAAAACATGGTTATCACTATAAAAAAGTGATTAATTGCTAGTGTAAGATTTAGCAGAGGAAACAGAGGGACTGGTGACGTCACGCTCCACGTGGCCACCGAAATTGGCTTTTCCGGTCAACATCTTTATCGCTATCTGAGCCACTTCTGCAAACCACTCGTCCTCAGGCAACGTCCTGCATCATCATCATCATCATCGTATGGGTATGTGTGTATGTATGTATGTATGTATGTATGTATGTGTGTATGTATGTATGTATGTATGTATGTATGTATGTATGTATGTATGTATGTATGGTACCTGTACGGGTCAAGTCCAGTGGCTGCAACAGCTTCAATGGCTCGAGCTATGATGTTCTTGATGACTTGATGAAGGTTTCGAGACAAGTACCGTCCTTGTGAAGCAAAGATCATGACAAACTCCATGTCCAGATAAAACTGCCACCAGTTTTTCGGATCCATTTACATCGTACCAGAAACCAAAAAAAAAAATCGAGATTCTTGAACTGTGCTTTGTTTTGTTTTACCTGTTGAAGACCATGAGGACCCAGAGGTTTAGGACCCGTTTCGATCTCTTCCCAGAATGTCTGATCATCTGAGATCCATAGAATCACCGTCTCCATCAGTCTCATCAACAATATTGTTGCGAATCTTTCTCTCCCCACGAACATGTCGCTGGCAATGCTCGCTATTCTTGTCAGTTTGGCAAACAGTTCCTGAAACATGGGAAACATGTCAGAACGACCTCTGCTTAAGCAACAAGACTGAGTTGGATGTGTCTAAGTGAATTCCTTTTAGATTTCAGATGATGATCTTTATGTTACCTGGAAAATCGGAGAGGGAAACCATTCGGGCTCTTCCACGATTTCGTCCATAGCAATGTACATCTGAGAACTGAGACGTACCTCTCCTTCTTCGGTAAAGATGAGTTCAAGAGCATGTTGTCTACAGAAGCTGTCTCTTAAGCGATCCACTGATCTTTGGAGCTTCCTCTTCCACTCCCTTTGCTCTGGCCTGTTCTGTCTGTCTTTGCTAGGAGTGGATTGGCCAGTGTTTGAGGACAGAATCTTTGAAGCGGAACGTGGTATCAACTCATCAGCTAACAGAAGAGCATTCGCTAACAATGCCGTTTGTTGAGCTTCAGTTTCAGCCACTTTAACTATTCTATGGACTGGATTCTCCTCTGTTTCAGCTGAACCGGGTAAAGCATTGATTAAAAGATCGACGTACGCATTAAACACCTGCAAAACACCGTCCAGTGCAACCCCGTCTAATTGAAGCACTTCATCCAGTGGCCCTGCATCCTCCAGAAACTCCTAAAACTCGTAAGGGCGAAAAACAATGAGGATCTTATGAGAAACTTATAAGAATCAAATGCTATATGAGGGTTTGAAGAGATGCATAATCACCTGAACCATGGAATTGAATCGGATAGCGCTTACAGAAAGCTTCAGATGAGGTGCAATCTGTGCAGTGGACGAAGCCCGTGAACCAGTCGGTGTATAAGTGAGCATCCAATCATCCGAAGCAGCTAAAGCGGCGCTGCTTTGTTCGATTCTCTTGAGATTTCCAGTCAATGCCTGTTCCACACATGGCCTGAAATGTTTCAGCAACACAGGAGCAAGAGCTAAACCTCGAGATTCCAGCAATGAGCAATGGGATGAACAGAGTTGGATGCATTCAGCAGTGACCCGTAAACTCCCTGCAGCAGCGGATGAAGCCAATGTATGTCTTTTCAGTAAAAGAGCGAAAGATTCTGCTTGTTTAACCGACCAAGTCACGAGCTCGGATGAATAAGCAGGCTCTTCTTCTCCTACAACGGCAAGAGAATCGCTCGAAGCTTGAGCAATGGTTGAGAAAACGAGCTGCGAGAGAGCAGCAGCAAAAGCTACCCCGTAAGATGTGTTGGAGGCTCTAAGGCTTTGAATGTTGGCTTGAAGCCTCTTCTCGTAAGAGCGAAGAAGCAATGTATGAGCACGAGGACCGTCCCCGAGTTTCTTGAGAGCCAATACTGTCGATCTTAGCTCACCTGCTCTTGTGGAAGGTTGGCATATTGATTCAGCCAATTGGTCTGCTAGTTCCTGTCTTTTCTCTCTGATAGCGTTGTTCAGAGAAAGAAGAGCGTTAGGGCTAAGACTGCGCCTCTCGTTAGCCTCTGCTGCTACTTGACGCCCTTCTTCTAAAGCAGCCATGGCTTCTTCCACTCTCTTCTCTGCTAAGAGAACTTCAAGTCTGTCGAAGAACTCAATGACCCAGTTCTCTATACTGGACAACTGTTTGTTCTCTATATCGTAGAGGACTTCATCTGTTAAGTCATCAGCATCGTCCGCACACAAGGAACTGATATGAACACCATCCGCTAAGCCGTGAACAAGAGCTGCTTGAGCAGAAAGAAGGTTTCTCATGGAGAGAAGTTGCCCTTCAAGAGCTGATATCTCCTTTGATGTCCTGCAGATGAAAGAGATCCAGTCACAGATCATGATTCCAGTCTCGAAACTGAAGTTTGACACAGTATATTTACCGTATAAATGCTGCGTAGTTAGCGTATACGCTCTTACGCATCTCTTCTGCAGAGGCTTTCTTTAGCTCGACGAGGTAAGAACACAGATGCCTTATCTCCTGTATTGGAATCGCAACCCGATACAGTTTACTGTCTCATCTACGAATAAACATTAGTCGAAACTAACACACTATACTTTTTAAGACAAGACATCATATACATTATTATGTTCAGCAAGCTGCAACAAAAAGGAATCAATCTGATACACCATTTCGAGCTTATGTAAGGAGGAGGAAGCCGATCACCGGAAAGATAGATGCAAGGGCTGAGGTTGGAGCTGCAGGAGACAACAGCAGGGACATGCAGGAGACAGCATCGCCTGGAGAATGATCAGAGTGGCAGAGCAAGGAAGGGAAAAGGGGTTTTTAACAAACTCATTATTACCTAGTATTAATTATTACTATAGGCTTTTGGGAAACGGTTTTTAGGCTTTTGGAAAACGGTTTTGGGCGCGTGGGGATTGGCGAACCTCTTTTGGGTTGTACAGCGGATATAAAAACGAAAGATGGGATATTGGGTTCCTTGTGCATTTTGTGATTGAAAGTCTAAGGGTAAGGGGTGAGGGAGAGTCTCACACTAATCAACTCTCAGTCGTTGTATTGGTGTTTTCCCATTTGATCAATACAACTTGCGTATCTGTTTTACATCGTTGTTCTATCATCTTTGGTATCAGAGCATCTCGATCTCCGATGACTAAGACCAACAACACCCAACGCATGGATAAGCTCGAACAATCCCTTGCCGAGCGCTGGGATTCCATGGAAGCTGCGGTGCGCAAGGACTCTCAAAGGATGGATGCGATGGAGACGATGCTGTCGGAAATCGTTGCCTGGATGAAAGGTCACGAGGAGGCCTCTCCGGCCCCTCCGGCGTCAACGGTTTCGGCGGCCGCCGATAAGCCTTCAAGCTCCACCCATCCGCCAGGCGACGCAAACCCGACGATACTACCGGGGGAGACGATCCTGAACTCAGGGGAGTTGCCGGAGACAGAGACGGACACAGCAACGGGGGGGCTCCGCCGTTTCACAAACACGTTCGACTCCCAAGTGAAGAAAATCGATATGCCGGTTTTTGAAGGAGACAATGTCCATGGCTGGGTTACTCGTGCAGAGAGATTCTTTGAACATGGAGGCTGCACTGACGAGGAGAAACTTCGCCTCGTCTCCCTGAGCGTGGATGTACCCGTCCTGGACTGGTTCAACTGGCAGCGCCGCCGCTCGGATTTCACTGACTGGACAGATTTTAAACTCCGGTTGCTGTCGCGTTTCGGCGACAAGCGGGCAGGTTCTTTTACTGATCGTCTATTTTCTCTGAAACAGTCGCGTTCGGTTGCGGAATATTTGCAGGACTTTGAGGCTCTGCTAGCCCAGTTGCCGGAGATGCCGGAGGATATGGTCGTCAGTGCCTTTCGACATGGGTTAAAGGTCGAGCTTCGTGATTTGCTCTATCTTTTTCACCCGGAGGGCTTTGAGAAGATTGTCGACCTCGCCTTACGTCTCGACGGTAGCTCTGTTCAGCCACCGGGGGTTCCTCCTAGACACTCCGAGGGGAGGTCTGTTCGCTCTGCTTCGTCGACTTCGGGAAATTTTCGTACAGTTTCAGTGCCGGCAACACAGTCGTATGACACCAGCCGTCTAGGGGATAGTCGTCGCCCTGCACCAGCCTCGACGGTACCTCCTATGGGCCCACAAGCTGATCGCCCTAATCCCTTTAGGCGTTTAAGTGATGATGAGGTGGCGGAATAGCGTCGACGTGGCTTGTGTTTTCGCTGCGATGAGAGATATTTTATGGGGCACAGATGTAAAAACAAGGAACTACAGGTTATTTTGGTAAAAGATGACATGGAGTATTTGGTGGGTGAAGAGGAGTTGAAGGAGCTATCGACACCTTTACCTACAGATGTCCCAGGGCAGGCTGAGCTGTCCATGAACTCTGTCATCGGTCTCACTTCTCCAAAAACCTTCAAGGTCGCAGGCACGATCGGCCGTCAGGGAGTGGTGGTTCTCGTGGACAGCGGCGCAACCCATAATTTTATGTCTGTGGAGGTTATTACAAAGCTAGGGCTCAGACCGGTTCACACCTCGGGTTACGGGGTCTTCCTCGGCAACGGGCTAACGGTTCAAGGGGAAGGGATCTGCCAAGCGGTAACCCTATACGTCCAGAACTTGGCCATTGTCGCCGACTTTCTCCCTCTCGAGCTCGGCAGCGCTGATGTGGTGCTCGGTATTCAGTGGCTCCGAACCCTTGGTCAAATCCAGTTCAACTTTTCAAAGCTGGAGATGCGATTCTTTCAAGGCGCAACCCAAGTCACCATTCAGGGAGATCCTGGGTTACAGAATTCATTGGTCTCCTTCAAGTCATTGATGACTTGTTACAATCAGACTCCCCGCTCGAGATGAAGCCAGCGGCAGCATTGATTCCAGTCTTGGACGAGTTTCAAGCTGTTTTTGGCATGCCGGAAGGACTGCCCCCTCTCCGGGAACGTGCTCACTCTATTCACTTAAGTGAGGGAACCCCTGCAATCCGAGTCAGACCCTACCGTTATCCACATGCTCACAAAGAAGAGATTGAGAAGCTGGTTTCGGATATGCTCAAGGCGGGTATTGTTCGCCCTAGCCAGAGTTCTTTTTCGAGCCCCGTTTTGTTGGTTCGAAAAAAGGATGGCAGCTGGCGGTTCTGTGTGGATTATAGGACGTTAAATCGGGCTACCATTCCTGATAAATTCCCAATCCCTGTCATCGACCAACTGTTGGACGAGTTGTATGGAGCTGAGATTTTCTCCAAACTGGACCTCAGGTCGGGCTACCATCAGATACGTATGGCAGACTCCGACATTCACAAAACGGCATTCCGAACGCATGATGGACTGTATGAGTTTTTGGTCATGCCTTTCGGCTTGACCAATGCCCCTGCTACATTCCAGGCTCTCATGAACGTGATCTTCAAGTCTTTCTTGCGGCGATTTGTATTGGTTTTCTTCGATGACATATTAATTTACAGCCGTTCCTGGGAAGAACATGTGACGCATCTCAAGACAGTCCTTGAGGTGCTACACCAACAGCAGCTCTTCGCTAACCGCAAGAAATGCATTTTTGGCCAGCCACAGATTGAGTATCTCGGCCACCTGATCTCAAAGGCCGGTGTCGCCACTGATCCCAGCAAGACGGTGGCAATGCAGCAGTGGCCAGAACCCAAGACGGTGAAAGAATTGCATGGGTTCTTAGGGTTGACGGGTTACTACAGACGTTTCGTCCGTGACTATGGGACAATCGCCAAGCCCTTGACCGAATTATTGAAGAAGGACAGTTTCAAGTGGTCGGATGCGGCATCATATGCTTTCAACAGCCTCAAGCACGCAATGATTTCAGCTCCTGTGTTGATTTTGCCTGACTTTTCAGATATTTTCGTAGTCAAGGCTGATGCCTCGGGAGCGGGAGTAGGAGCAGTTCTGATGCAAAAGAAGAGACTAGTGGCCTATTTCAGCTTTGGATTGAAAGACAGAGACAAGATGCGACCAGTGTATGAAAGGGAACTCATGGCCATTGTGCTTGCTGTCCAAAGGTGGAGACATTACTTAATGGGCAGAAAATTTCAAGTATACACAGATCAGAAAAGCCTGAAATTCATGTTGGAACAACGAATGGTGAGCCTGGAGTACCAACGTTGGCTGATCAAACTTCTGGGGTTCGACTTTGACATCATATACAAGCCAGGATAAAGCTGCCGATGGCCTCTCTCGGATTCCCCATGATGCACTGATACAGGGGACGTCTTGGATCGGGGCGCTGACAGTTCCTACTTGCCTTGACCTGACCTCCCTGACAAAGGAAGTGGACCCGGTTTTGGGACCAATTCTGGGCAAACTCAGAGCCTTACAGCCGGCACCTCCTGGATACTCTCTACAAGGTGGCGTACTCTTATATAAACAAAGGTTTGTGATTCCCGCTACTTCTGCATTGTTCCAATTCTCTTGGCTGAGTTGCATAACAGTCCCATTGGAGGACATGGTGGTGTCTTAAAAACAATGAAGCGCGTTCAATCATTGTTTCATTGGACGGGCATGAAAGGAGCCATACAACGTTATGTGGCGGCTTGTCCTACCTGCCAAAGAAACAAGTATTCCACACTATCTCCGGCGGGCTTGCTGCAACCGTTACCGGTGCCGACTCAGATATGGAGTGACATTTCCCTGGACTTCATTGAAGGACTCCCTAGATCCTGCGGTTTCAATGCAATTCTGGTTGTGGTGGATCGCCTCAGTAAGTTTGCTCACTTCATCTGCTTAACTCACCCTTTTTCGGCTGTAGATGTGGCTACAGTCTTTGTCCGTGAGATTGTCAGACTCCATGGCTTTCCCACATCCATAGTTTCAGACAGAGACAGGATTTTTCTCAGTCTCTTTTGGAGGGAATTATTCCGTCTCTCGGGTACAAAACTCAAGTTCAGCACGGCCTTCCACCCGCAAACGGATGGTCAGACAGAGGTCGTAAACAGGAGTTTGGAAACATACTTGAGATGCTATGCCTGTGATCATCCGAGAAAATGGGCTTTGTTCATTGCCTGGGCTGAATATTCCTACAACACTGCCTTCCACACGACCCTGCAGACTTCTCCATTTCAAGTGGTATATGGGCACGCTCCTCCTGCACTCATCAGGTATGAACCTGGTTCTACCATGAATGGGGATTTAGAGGCTTCTTTACAGGAACGTGATGTGATGCTGATAGACATAAGGCAGAAGTTGATTCGAGCACAAAATCGGATGAAACAATATGCTGATCGATCACGTCGAGAGCTCGAGTTTCAGCTGGGAGATTGGGTTTTCTTGAAGCTTCGCCCTTATCGGCAACACTCGGTGGCTCGCCGAACTTGTCAGAAACTTGCTGCCCGGTACTACGGTCCATCCCAGGTGACCCAACGCATTGGGAAAGTGGCCTATAAACTCCAATTGCCTGCTGATTCGAAAATTCATCCAGTGTTCCACATTTCTCAGTTGAAGAAAGCCATTGGGTCGGCTTTTGAAACCCAGCCTCTGCCACCTCGTTTGACTGCAGATCTGGAGGTGATTGTTGAGCCGGAGGATATCATTGATCACCGCTACTCACCTGAGGGATTACTCGAGGTCCTGATCCAGTGGAAGAGCTTACCATTTCATGAGGCTACATGGGAATTGGCTCAGGATTTTGTTCACCAATTTCCGGAATTCCAGCTAGAGGACAAGCTGCGTCTTCGGGCCGGGGGTAGTGATACACCATTTCGAGCTTATATAAGGAAGAGGAAGCCGATCACCGGAAAGATAGATGCAAGGGCTGAGGTTGGAGCTGCAGGAGACAACAGCAGGGACACGCAGGAGACAACATCGCCTGGAGAATGATCAGAGTGGCAGAGCAAGGAAGGGAAAAGGGGTTTTTAACAAACTCATTATTACCTAGTATTAATTATTACTATAGGTTTTTGGAAAACGGCTTTGGGCGCGTGGGGATTGGCGAACCTCTTTTGGGTTGTACAGCGGCTATATAAACGAAAGATGAGATATTGGGTTCTTTATGCATTTTGTGATTGAAAGTCTAAGGGTAAGGGGTGAGGGAGAGTCCCACACTAATCAACTCTCAGTCGTTGTATTGGTGTTTTCCCATTTGATCAATACAACTTGCGTATCTGTTTTACATCGTTGTTCTATCACAATCTTCAGAGGGCCATTTCTTGCACATAACCCAGGATACAAAATCATTATCAAATCTTCACTTGCACGGTATGTCTGTGCAAGATCGAAATCTCTTTATTCTTCATCATTATAATCTTGATTATGAGCCCAAAAAGAAGAAACGGAATCTTACCGAATGAAATTAGTTGTCTCTGCATCCTACAATCTGGACACGGTACGATAATCTCACGTTCACACATTCCCATAAAACAGTAAAACATTACGGTCTTCACACGAAAGCAAAGAAACCCTCATGTTTTTGCTCGTACAACACATATATACAATCGATATGCGTAGATGCGTGTGTTGCGGATTGAGAATGAGGGAAAGGGAAGGACCTTTTCGTTCATGTGTTGGCATTTGGAGGTGACGTAAGAATCGGGATCGAACCCAGAGCTCTTGAAGACCTTCAAACGGTCACTCAGTGTCAGATTTGCTTCCAGGTCTGCAGAATCTCCGATGCTCGACGACATTGATCCTCTTGTTCTTCCCTCCATTTCTACCAATCAATCCCAAACCCACACGAACACAAAAAAAAACCCAAGAATACGCTTTCGCAAACAAAAAAAAAAATCGAGAAAAACCCAGAAATCAAAAAGAAAAATTCAGAGGAGATCGTCGAAGCAGGAGGAGGGGGAGAAGGAGATGGAAATGAGCGAGCTGGAAGGCGGCAAAATTGGGTCCCGGAGGCAGTCCCCATTGACCGAGGAATGCGAGCGTGGGAGTAACGCGCGATGGAAAAAGAAGTTCTCTCCACGATGTCCCTCGCAATATATTTTCCCAAACTGGCGTATAATTAAACGAGTTAAATAATACGATGAAAAATGAAAATAGAATAAACTATTGAATATATAAATGTCAGTTATTATCTACACCCATTAATAATTATATTTTACCGTTGTAATCTACTCTTTTAGTTTCTTGCTAACATCAACAACAATTAATTTAAAATTAATTAGTATTAGGTAATAATCCGTGTTTATCGTACAAATTAAATATCTATAGCGATTTTAAATAATTTTATTGTTAATTTTAAATTGAAATATAAATTTTTTTTATATAATTTATATTATAAATTAAAATAATTATTTTTTAAAGTGTTGTGATGATGAGATGATGCATTTTTTAGAGGGTTTATTAATAACTTACGTTTTTATATTTTATGGGTTAAATTATAGAACCAAAGATTAAAATATGGAATATCGTAATAATATTTTGATAAATTTTATAACTCGATAAAAGAATTACTTTTGACAAATCAAGTGATACCTAAAAAATATAACTATCATAATACAAATATTTTAAATTGAAAACATAAAAATTAGTAAAAATATTATAAATTATATTGACAGGATAAAATTTTAAAATCTCACTATTAGATAAAATGATATTATATTTATAAATAAAATTTTACTTTATATATACAATTTAGTATTGCAAATATTAAGCGATTAGTTAAATATAAATCTATAACATAATTTTTTTATATGATTATGAATCGGGACATTATCAAAAATACCCTTACTTTGCTATTTTGAGTTGGTATAACCTTCTCCAACTGTGATCCAATGACCCATGTGATCAGAAATTTAATCTTGATCATTTTGACCATAACGTTAAATTTATGATGATCACACACATTCATTATGTTCATATCTTATATATTTCACTAATCATTTGATAAAAAAATTATAAATTCAATGTTATGACCAATATGACCAAGATTAACTTTCTGGTCATATGGATCATATAGTCACAGTTGGAGAAGGGTATGCCTTAAAGTAAAAATAGCAAAGGGAAGGTATTTTTGATATAATGCCTTATAAATCCCAAACCCATCAAAATATTAAATATTTAAATTGATTATAAATAATATTTTTATATTAATCTCTCCAAAATATCTATGTTTTGCATATTAGAATAAGAAAAGATATAATTTAAAAAATAAACATGTATTACTTTACCATGAAAGAAATTGTATTGTTATGTATATATTACCCTAAAATTATAACAAAAAAATAAACAAAAAAAAAATGAACTTCACATGAAATGAATTAAGACAAATAATTATAAATATATTTTATCTTGGATATAATATCACATATAATATATCGGATTATAAATATATATTGAATATTTTTCATCAACAAATAGAAAAATAATTCTACAAAGAAAAAAAAAGATATAATAGCATATCTTATAAAAGTGATTGATACAAATAAAATAATAGAAACACATCAAAAGAAAAATACAATAAAATCGGATTATAAACCTTAATCAGTTTGTTTGTACCTTTAATCTTTTTGAATATCAAATTGATCAGTACGATAATGGTATTGTTGATGGCACACCGAAAGCATATTAACGTTATTTTATGGTTTAGAATTTTTTAATTGAAACAATTAATGTTCAATGAATCATAAATTATTATTTTGTTTATGGTTATTTACGAAAACTCTATATATTAAACCTAAAATAAAACTAATCATAAATATTTATTTTAAAAATATTGAATATCAAGAAAATAATTATGGAAATGAGTGTATGCTGAAATCATATATATATATATATATATATATATATATTCTATTGTTTATTTTTAGTTATATTATCGAAGAGAAATAAATTTGTATTTATCACATTTCATGCTATACAAATAAAAATGTTTTTATTCTCACTCCAATTTTAGTCTCGTTTTTTCCTATATTTTCCAGGTTCCAAAAACACACTACATTAAATTAATTGTAGAAAAAAAAAATTTATATTCTGATCAATAGTGACACATGTCATCCTCCCATGAGAGAAAGTATATAATTTTTTGTGTTTTACAAGTTTCAAAAAATACTCTATTAAATTAATTATAAAAAAATATTTTTATATTATCCTACTAATAGTGACACGTGTCAACGTAAGATAAAATATACTTATATATATATATGATTATTATTGATTAGAAATTTTCGTATCCTTGTTATATATTTTTGAATTGTTTTATTTTATTAATATGATCTATAGAAAACCTTCTTTCCTCTTTCCTTTTTTATGGGATAGAGAATGTTTTATTTTCTTCTACCCATTAATCATATAAGATAACTCAACTCTCACTAAAAAATCTACCGCCACCATGGTTGAAAACGATAATTTTGTCGTGAACCCAAAATAACCTTTTTACATCCATCTTTATGATCATCCTTTCCATTGAGTGAAAATAAAACAAAAATTATTTTTATGGAGTTTCAACTTGTTAAATGCCCTCCGATCAAAGAACAAAGTGGAATTTGTCGATGGACCAGTTGAAATACCGAATTGATTAGCACTATTATATCAAGTACGGATTCAAAATAACGTCATTGTTTTAACATGACTTACCAATGCCTTATGTAAAGAATTCCAAGGAGGTGCGTCACATGCTAAAATGACTCATGAAGTGTGGGAGGAGTTGAAGAAATATTCATACAAGACTTTGTGCGAAGAATTATGAGCATTCACACATATATCCACATATAGTTGTGATAGTTGTACTTGTCAAATTTCTAAGCAAATTGAGCAAATGCGTACAAAATGAAAATGTATTCGAAACTTAATGAGTCTTGATTATGAGTTTAACACTGAAACATCTCAAATTCTCAGTGTTTACCCTCTTCCAAACTTAAGTCGTTCTCATGTTCTTGTTGCTTGATGTCGCAAATCTAGGTATACAAATTTCGATCAAGTGATAAATTCCTAGACTCAACAAATTCTGCAAGTATACGGATCGATTGTAGTAGCTAGGGTCGAACACAAGGAAAAAAGTAGACAAAGAAATCAAATCCAAACCTAAGTCTAAATCCAGAGAAAATAATATGAGTGTGAGAAGGTAACAAAGTAAACGATAAAACGACTGTAATCTATGAATGATGAACACTGCAGGCTTCGGGATTGCTTTACATGCAAGGATCTTTCAAAAGATACAAACTTAGTGGTTTATCTATCCAATCCAGGGAATTCAAGCTCTAAGGTAGAGATTAACTCTTCCAAGTCTAATCTCACTATCTAGATTTAATCATACCAATCTTCCGATTCAATAGTCTAAAACTCTGGATGCATGAACGAACGCTATCATAATTCCTAGGCAAATACCCATCTTCCAATGCGATACCTGTTCTATTTATTGAATTAGTTCCAGGTTAGAATCTCATATGTCTATGTGAATTAAAACCCTAAGTTCATTCAACCAAGTGGCCAACGAGATCAAAAGCATTAAGAACAATTCAATAAACTGAATGGAATAAACAAATCCAAAAGTCTGGAATTAAAACCAAAGATCCCTACATAGCAAATCCCTAACCTACATCTATGGGACTACTCGCTAAACATCGAGACGTCGGGGTTCATATCAATAACACAAAACATCGTAAAATAGAAGAAAGGAAGAATGCTTAGTCGATTTCTCGGCTTCGTAATCTTCGTCTTCTAATCCGATCTCTTGCCTCTTGATAATCTCCCTCTTCTTGTGTGCTCTATGGTGTGTTTTCTGTGAAAAGTCTGAATGTTTTCGACCTTGGGGGCTAACCCTGCTTAATCCTTCTTTTTCTGGGCTAAAATTCAGAATATTTCCAAAATCTGGTAAGTGACCCGATCGTGTGACTGAAAGTGACACGATCGTGTCACTTAACAGTTTTGGAGGGCTTCACAAATTTGCTCATAACTTCCTGCTCCGACATCGGATTTGGGTGATCTTGGTGTCTATGCGTAGATATCGAAGAGAACTTTCCAATGATGTAAAGAATGCATGATTTGGACTTGTAGAGTGAAAGTTATTGGACTTACAAGATCTGACATTTTCTGAGCTTCACGTTTTCCCTGGAGACACTTCAAATGTTCCCGGTTCGTCCGTAATGTTTCGTATTCCATATTTTCCACTCTTTTTGCTCTCTTTATGTGTGGATTCCTGTTTAAACACCAAAGAACACAACCATGCAATATCGAAGCCAAATGTGCTCTAGAATGTCTACAAATATGTAAAACCCAGTGAAATACGCTAGACATCCTATATCAATGTTGGGTTTTTCTGGGATCTCATAAGCGAATCCTATTCCTAAGAGATCAGTTCTAGGGTTTGCGCAGCGGATGTAAAACAAAATTTTTAATAAAACCCTAAAACCTATCATGCATGATCTTGTAGAAACGATAGAACGCTTACCTCAATCGATCCGGGGCCTGTATCAATTGATATGTTCGTTCGATCACTGTAGGCAGGAAGAATACCTTGCCCTCTACACGTATCCACACCTCGGGATGGATTCCAACCTTTGGAACTTGTCTGCTAGGACTCGAATCTTCTATTCGATGATGTGCTTTGAGAAAACGAGATTTAGATCACTTCTTCAACCCTCTAGACTCTCCAAAAAGGTCTGAAGAAGTTCTCTTTTTCGGCTCCTTCGTGTTAGGGTTATTAATCTCCTCTTATTCAAGTGATTAACCCTAGATCCGGACTTTTAAAATTAAATCCGAAACCCAGACCGAACGGACTGCTTAGTAGTCCGTTCGGTCTGGACACTTGGTCTGTTCGAACCAGTCTCATAACTAGATCCGTTCGGACCGATGGGTCAGTCCGTTCGGTCCAACACTTGGTCCGTTCGGATTGGACTCTCTAGTCCGTTCGGTCCAACAATTTGGTCCGTTCGGACTAGATGCTCCGGTCCGTTCGGTCCACTCCTAGACCGAACGGTCCGGACCTCTTGTCTAGATTTCTCGACGTTTTCTCGTGCATTTGTCCTTCCCTGCGTGTGTGACCCTGTAGGCTCATTCGATATAGCAGTATAATCCGAAATCTCTATTCCGGATATACAAGTCATAGGCGGCCTCTAGCAAGACACTATGACTACCTATCTCGAATAGAGTTTGTTTGTGATCTTACGAACGTCAGTGATGATTCCGGTTGATGATCCTTTTGTATCACGATATCATATGTCGAATATAAGGCATGGACAAGCCACGTTATCTGATTCGACTGCTTTCTCGTTCACTGAGTTCGACTGTCTGAAATAGACGACGTTCGTCTATAGTGCGGCCATACATTTCTACAGTCTCGCTCACACGAGGGGCCCAGCGATATCTCTCTCTTTTACGGGAGGTACAAATCCCATCTTGACTATCTACAAACCAGTACATGATTCGTTTCGTACCTGATACACGCCTTTATAGTCCTCCTGTTACGCAGGACGTTTGACGTAATCAAAGCACGCTACTCCTCATGTCGGATTCCGTGGATATCTCAGGTCTTAGGATCCAATCATGGAACCGCCATATGAGATTCAAGTCATGACACTAGTCCATGTGATAATCTCATGCGGGTCAATCCAGTATTGCGTTCTCCAATGAATACCTATGATTGTGATCGTATCCAAATACTTATGATCATCTATATGATCATCAATCACACATCATACTAGTCTTATTATGTCATCATTCCCATAATGACACAAGACTAGAGAGTTAAGTATCATACATAATGATACATGGATTTCATAACACATCTAGTATGCAAGAACATGTAATGAATCAAATACTCTCATAAACCATAGAAAGTATCAATACATCAATCAAATGTATCTAAATAAAGCTCATAAACAGTACATCATAGAGCACTAAACCAACAATCAAAACATCACCCATAGTACGTGTTATCATTGCTCAAGATGGAATAACAAAAACCCGTTGCTATTGGGCAAAATCCTAACATTGAAGAATGTATCATGGCTACTTTTTGCCCAAATTCTGCCAATTTTGAAAAGTTTTATTGGTCTTTTGCTACTAATCAAAGAATTGTCCAAAAAAATAATTCTCTTCGTACTCGAAGCATAACATGTGTACTATTAAAACAAAAACAACATAGTCTGAGAAGATGTATTTGTTTAAAAAGCAAGTTAGTCCAAGAGTGTAGCTCTCTGTATATCTGAAAATGATCAAGAACATGGAGCAAATAAAGAAGATGCTAGATGAGGAGAACACTTATGAAAAGGAGGATTTTATCCATACGCATCAAATGAGGACGGAATTAACACTCAAAGATTCACTTAACGAGGAGAAATATTCTGCAAATAACATCATGGAATGAAGTATATGATCCAGCGGCGGATTCAGGAAAAAATGTTATTGAGGTAATAAAATTAATGAAAATATATCATCGATTGAATTCTACTATGATTCATTTTCTGAAATTTATCCATTATAATTTCATTTTTAATTGTTTGAAATATATCTTTTTCCATGGAAAAAACTAGAAAATGACTCAAAAACTGATTACCAATCCGATTGCATAAAACTTTCTTCACAAAGTTAATCATTGAAAATCAACTTTAAACAGTCGCGGTGGTAATAAGTAAAATCAATATCAATTTATAAATTCTATACATCAAAAGTCATTAAAAAATATAAAGAAAATTATAGAAAAATAACATAGAAATAAAAATGAAGAGGAAAAAGATGATTGAAGGCATTTCATTTATGACTACAAATGAGTTCTTATACAATATGTACATAATGAAAAAGAGATTATTTTTCTGGATATGCTTTATTAGAGATTTGATCCTCTGGATGTTGGTTTATATATTTTCCATGTGATATCTTCTTTATATATATTATTTAAAATTATTAGATGCAGACCTCACAATTCAACTAGTACAGATGTTCAAATTAGATGTAATCTCATGACTCAACTCAACTATGATCCATGATAGAATACGAGAAATTGATAATTGTTTTAAGCCTGGATTTTGTATTTTTCTTTCTATTATGTGTTATATTATTGGTTATTCAATTTTCTTGGAGCTTCTGTCGGAGTCTTCTCTTTCGTTGTCGCTTGAATCCGATCACTTGCCAAAATATTTTGTGTTTCTTTGCGATTTTTTTTTTAACGTGGACGCACCAACACCCAAACAAGAACCACACGGAAAGAGTATAACGCCCAATCCCCTGCCACGACAAAAAAGAGACAAAATATTCGAACATGAAATGTTAATAATTTTAAAGAAAATCAAGCAATTAAACTACTTGAAATTGGTATTTCCAAACTTCGATTTTTTTTCTTTTTACAACTTCAAATTTTAAAAAGTTAGAGATCTCGTTTTTCGGAATCGACAAAATAGATCTTTGTGCGGTCAAAATGATTCTTAATCGTATTTTTTTCAATGATACAACGTTTCCCTGTTTTACTATGTATCTCGTGTGGATTTACACATACACATGCATACATATATATATATATATATATATATATATATAAATTATTTAGAGATGATGTAGTTATTTGGGGATCGAATTAAAGATTGGCAAAACTTTCATTGAAGTATAGTATTACGTGGTGCCTACTTGATATAAAAGGAAGAGGCCTAAATCCACCGCTGAAGTCAAGGAAGGAGCAATCCGACGTCGTATTGATGCCCCCGGGACAATTGCAAACAAAGGAATTAGACTGAGTGTTGTAACCACAAGCACCGTTGCTCCGCTCGCAGCCGCCGCACACGGCCGGGTACTCGCCGAATACGTTGAACTTGTACTTCAATGCGACACCGTATTGCCAGCTTTCCGGGTTCGATTCTTGCCCTCCGAACCCGTAAAAGCCAGAATATGATGAGCATTTGAGCTTGTTAAGGTCCATTTCGAACGACGGTCCGAGGTCGAGCGGCACGTATACGCAACAACTCGATATTTGGAAGTTTACCAGATTGATTGACCTGTAGTTTGATATGGTTCAGATAAACAAAAAGAGAAATTGTTGAATTTCATTTCCTTTGTGAGATTTGCAAATGGTATTTATATTCACCAGATTCGATATTTGAGGATTCATTTGACGGGTGAATCTATATGTTTAATAAAAATAAATCTATAACATAGATTTAAATACATTGTAGAAAAACTGTTCAATTCTATTTCAAAATAATATCAGTACAATTCTCTTGTATTATTCATCAAATGAGGAATACGTAATTATTTATATGACTCAAATCAAACCAAAACTATACCATGTGTAATCTGTCGTACAATCTAATACAATTTCGTGCAATTCTCTTGAATATAAAAGCCACGTACCTACAATTGGAGTACAAGTAGTTGCAAATAGACGCGCCCTGACGGTCACAGAGCGTGAGACGGCCGGTACCGTTACTTAACGGCGTGAAAACGGGGGAGTCATCTACGGAACAGTCGAGGAGGGTGAAAACGGTGTCGTCGTGGAAGGAAAACGGGGCGTCCCAATCCAACCCGAACCCGTTACTGGGTCGAGTACAAGCACACGTGGACATTGTCGGGTCGGAGATATAAATCACCTGCTTCGTGTAGTCAACGCTGGTTATGGGGTAACACCCGGTGTGAGTGGCCAAAGTCAACGCCTGTTGGTCGGAGTCGCACGTGATGTAACGGGCGAAACGCGGGTCTCCACAACCCGACCCAGATCCGAGCGGGTATTTTATGGGTATTTGGCCACAGGCTTTTTGGCATGCTTGTGGTGCGACCCGACGAGGAAGGATGAAGATGAAGACGCAAATTATGAGAGAGTTCATTGTTTTGTTTGTGTGTGAGAGGTAGATAGATGCGGAATCGATACTGAGGTTGAGTTTGTTTTGGTGTGTGTATATATAGCTATATATCATGTATGTAGAGGGATAAATATGTATTTTTACAGTTGCATTATTAGGTCAACATACATGTATAAATAGCCACTAATGTGATTAATAATAATTAGTTTCTTTTACCTAGCATATGGTATCAGAGCCATCCCTTTTTTTTTTGGTGCCGCTCTCTTTCTCTCGCCAATATTTAGATTTGATTTTATTTCTATATTTTAGATATTTATATTTATTGTGTATGTGTTTGTTCAAAACATACGCCTTTATGTATATACATTACTAACATATCTTTCATGGATTACTCATTTCGATTTTCTGTTATTATCGAATTTGTAAAGTTACACTACAATAATCCAATTCGCATTTTACAAAAAAAAACACATATCTTGCGTGGGATAGGTTCGTGAGGTTTTTTCCGTTATAAAAAACAAATAGCTTGTATATATATATTTAAGCATCTTTCTTTTGTTAATAAAGAAGTGATACTTTATATAAAAAACAAGACTAATAATAATCAGAAAAGCTAAGCAACGGATTATATTCCAGTCCAAATTAAGATCAATTTATCATTATGACGAAATTTTGTTATATGAATCCCTTAGAATTATATCTATCTATCTATCTATCTATCTATATATCAATCACATCATTGCCTATTTATGTAACGAGATTGAAGACATATCGTAGAATACGTGTGTTTGGTCGTTCATTTTTTTATTTCATTCCAACAAGGTGTCCCTAAGTAGCACAAAACAAGGCCTAAAGTACATAATAAGAATATCATAACAAGTGCGCACTAACGCTAAAGCCTCTACCAAGAAAAAGAAAGCATAAGGGAATAAGATTCACAAGGAATAAAGGAAGGAGAAAAAATAAAGCTGCTAAAAAATTCCCCAACTTTCCTCTTTGTATATTTATTTATATGGAAACTATGCATTACATAAAATTAGGTTTATCACATTCATAATCATTGCCCTTCTAACATTTTTTTTAATAATGGTAATAAATTAAGTTATGGAATGATTATCAGCGTACAAAAAAAAAAGGACATGGTAGGTTCGTTAGAGGAATAAAAAAATGCACATTAGGAAGAGAGGAGGATTATTATAGATTTCTAGAGTTTGCCGAGTAAAAGATGGAAAAGAAGTCGAGAATGAAAGGAGATGAGGCGGTAAAGAGAAAGGGGAATTCTATATTCCATTGATGTTTCATATAAAAATAATACCATTTTAATTTTTTATTTCATGTTATTAACACATTTAAATTGTACGTTTAGTCTTTTAATACAATATTTCAAAATAGATTTAGAAATTTCATATCATAAATCAGATTAATAAATTTATAGTTTTTTTAGTTTTATTTTATCGATTTTTATTTTAGTTATTTATTGAGTTCTGTGAAATTAAATTAAATATTAAAATTTATATATTTATTAATTTGTTATCACAAATTACATCGAATGACCCCAAAAATATATGAGACAACTCTGATGGGGTAATTTAATTATGAAATTAAAACCCTTTTGATTATTTAAAACTTTAATGTTTTACAAAATAAATTATATGAATTCATTTTCTAAACTCTTAATCAAAATACATTATATTAATCTGTGGTGAAACCCTTCATTTCTCAATATTAATTCCATACATTTTTTTATCAACAAAAGAAACTAATTATACATTACGTGGGCTATGTATTACAAATAAACGTAATTAATTATCATAATTATATTTTATTCCTTGCAATATTACGGGTGGAAATCAATTTGAATCACACACTTGAGCAAAATGATTCAGTATATAATTTCTTGTCATCATCAACATCATCATACGAAGAACTGGTAAGAATTTCGTAAACGTCAAAAAAATTTCCTAAAATTCCATGAGAATTTGGAGACACAGTGACGCGATTCATGTGTTGAGAGCTCGGATTTCGAGTTCATGACTCGCGTACTCGCGGCTCGTGTAATCGGAGAAATCATTTGAAGAAAACGAGTTCCTCCTGAAATTTCGAATTTCTTGACTGTACTGTCCGGAACTGTAGGCTGTGCTCTGACCGACTTTCACTCCATTGGTGAGATCAGACAGTTCTTTTCTGTTGTCCAAAGCTCTCACCACCTTTAAAACCAGACAATGACGTAAAGGTTTGAAAGGTGAAGAAGATGGAGGAGAAACATTGTTGTTGATTGGTGTGAGGAGGAACAGCGGAGAGACACACCTGAGCCATACGAGGTCGTTTTGGGGCAGAGTGTCTAACACAAGACGCTGCCGTTTCAATCATTCTATAGACCTCGGATTCATCGTATTGATTTTTCAACCGTTGATCCACCAAGTTATTGATGTCACCCGTTTCAATTGCCTCAATTAGGCGTGGCCGTGCCTGCAATCGTCAAATAGAGTTCGATTGGATATCTATTCGAATTCTACATCTACGGAATTGAATTATGAAATATTCAAATCATGATAACTCCTAAATCTCGTATATATATCCGTCCTTACCCAAAGGAAGTAAGAAAAAAAGTTGTTGAAAAAAAATATATATTCACAACAATAAAGGGATAAAGCAGCGTTACCCATTCGACGAGGCTTTCATCGCCGAGAGGCTGAGAGGGGTCAACAGGTTTGCGACCGGTGATGAGTTCAAGAAGCACAACCCCGAATGAGTACACATCCGATCTATCCGTCAACTTCCCACTCGACGCGTACTCTGGCGCCAAATACCTAAATATTTATTTAAATTTATTTAATTTTATCTGTTTTATAAATATAATACACAACAAAGACTATAAGTAACATCTATTCTGTCTTGAATTCGAACTTTAAATTTAGAAATAGAACTTATATTCCAAATCACTATATGGTTCTGTTAATGGGCTGGACCTTAATCCACATTAACCGGTTATATAAAAAAAAGACTACAAGTATTACCCGAATGTGCCCATCACCCTAGTCGAAATATGGCTCTGTGTTGTATCGTTGAGTCTGGCCAATCCGAAATCTGCTACCTATAATTTTTGTTTTTATCAATGAACAAAATCAATGTCTAACAATTTTTTTTACAAAAAATAAAAAATAAAAAATCTGTCTTACCTTAGCTTCGAATTCTTCATCCAATAGAATATTCGACGATTTGATATCTCTATGTATAATCCTGGGATGACCTTCGAATGAGATTTTAACATATTAGTGTAAAAAATTATCCTTTTTTTTCTTTTAAAAAAAATACTTTACAAATATAATTCTTTTAGTATTTAAAAATGCATTATACTTTTTCTTGAATTTTTGCAATAATTCTCTTTCTTATCAATGGAAAAGTTCCATTTTCTTAACTACGTATTATAACTTTGAATTACATTTGAATTATACACACATAGTGAGGTAACATAACTGGAGATTTTTGAAATTAAAAAGATCGTTTTCAAACTGAATATATAATAAGTGATGAAATGTAAAACCGATACTCACAGTCTTCATGTAGATAAGCAAGCCCTTTGGCTGCTCCAATTGCAATGTTGACTCTTTTGGTCCAATCAAGCACGTGCAAATCCCTACCTAACAACACGTAACATTAATATAATCTTAGAGATGAAAAATTTCATAATCTCATATTATCAAAATATGATTGAAAAATAACGAATGAACCGTTTAAATACCATGTAAATGATGGTCCAAAGTGTTGTTAGGGACAAACTCATAGATCAGAAACCTATGTTGTTCTGATATGCAATAACCCGCCAAAGACACCAAGTGCCTATGATGAACTCTGCTTATTATCTCAACCTCTGCTTTGAACTCTCTATACCCTTCCGCGTTACTCGATTTCAGTTGCTTGATCGCTACATTCTGTCCATCGGGAAACACTCCCTTGTATACGTACCCAAACCCGCCTTCTCCGACAACGTTTGCCTTGGCGAATCCTTGTGTTATTTGGCTCAAATCTTCATAGGTAAATAAAGTCTTTGTTGTTCCAATCACTGCAGAATCTGGTGTTCTTTCTTGATTCGGAATCTCCCCTGAAGAGTTTTGTCCTGAATTGTTCCCGTTACCGGGTTTCGGTGCATAATAGTTGTATCCATCTATACAAAAGAACCAAGAACCGGAGATGAGCTCCACGGCGTGATCAGATAGAAACAGGGCATGTTGAAAGAGCAAGATCAAGAAAAGGATAGAGACAGAACACGGTTTTTTTGAAGGACGAGGACAGGACAATGATCAAGAAAACAGACATGTTTAAAGAATAAGAACATGATCAAGATCAAGAAAAGGACATGACTTTCATGATGTTTCCCAAAACAAAACAGAACATGTCTGAAGAGCAGGAACGGGAATATGACGTATAGTTTGGAAAACAGAGCATATTTTAAGATCAAACGAAGAAACACAAAGGCATCACCTTTACCCGATTTTACAACGAAATTGGCGGAGGGCAAGTAGTGTTGGCCCGACCGCCGAGTAACACGCTTTCTATTTCGCTTCCTTACCAAGAACATGACTACGATGAACGTTATCACCACCGCTCCTGCGATCCCTATGCCGACCATGGTCCTTTGATCATAACTAGACCCATTGCCGTGGCCATTACTACCATTTCTATGGTTCACATTTGATGGATTGGAACTCCCCGAATGATTCGTGGGTCCCGAACTGGAATGAGGCGGAGGCGACAATGCCAATGCCGGTTGAGAATTCTGTCCCCCCGTAAGCGGAGAATCCGGCGGTTGAAATGGGTGTGTTTGTGGATCCGGCGTCTGAGGGACGGCAGGCTGCGACTGATACGACAATGGCGGTGAGACACCACCCTCTCCGGGATCCACCGGAGTCGGCGGAGGAAGCTGAGAGTTTGAATTGGGCAGAGAGGGAGGAGAAATGGGGTTCGGATGAGGATCGTCAGCAGGCCTTGTGTTAGGCTGGATTGCCGAAGGAGGAGGTTGGAGGGGAAGAGGAGGGGGAGGAAGAGGCTTCTCCGGAGGAGGCTCTCCGGGAATGTTCTGCGGCGGAGGTTGAGGCGGAGATGGAGGAGGGTTCGTCACAGAAGGAGGAGGAGGAGGAGTTGGCGGCGGAGAGGCGGTGGTTGGGGGCGGGGAGGGAGGAGGGGATTGTGGCGGAGGAGGAGACGGCGGAGAAGTCGCCGGAGGCTGAGTGTCTCCGCCAGGTATTTTGAAGTCTCCCAAGTTTTCGGTTGTGATGTTGGGTAATGGTGTGGATATCAATGGAGATATCTTCTTACCAATGAGATGGGCTTGTTCTTGGACCTTGTCCATATTTTGCTTCTGTAATCCTCAAACCTTTTTTTCCCTTTTGGATTTTACATGATTGAGTTGATGATCCAATGCGATTTCCTGTTTTTCGTCTTCTCGTTTATAAAAAAATATTTCGATTCCTAAAAAAGACAAAATAGAAGTTTTTTATGAGCTTGATTAGATAGATTTTTTTCTGGATTTTTTTTGACAAGAACAGAACTTTATGGGATCATCAAAGGATGTGGTGAAATGGAAAACGAAAGAAAACGAGAAATGTTTGGGAGAATCCTGGAATGAAAAATCTGCGGAACGATTTTTTGGACACCAATAAAGGAAGGGTAGAAGAAGAGGTTGCAAATTTGTGTTGAAAATCATTTTTTTGGGAATTTGTTTTTTTCCCCTTGTTTCGTCTAAAAACAGAAGATGCTAACGTTTTAAAAAATCCAAAAAAATAGGTTGAAAGTTTGAGTCGGGTATTACTAAAAATATTTTCCTTTTGCCGTTTGAACTTTATAGCATATCTTCTTTCTAAAAAACAAAAACAAAAATTTTATTTTTACCACCTAAAAAAATATAATTCTTAATTTTTTTGATAACATTGTACAAATATATTAATTAAAAAAAGTTTGTATACAAAAACAGTTAAAACCGAATACCGTACAAAAAAGAATACTCATGTACCTCTAATTTATCACCATAACATTCAAAAGGAAAACAACAACAATAACATGTTTATACAACTATCAACGTGAGAGAGTAATGATGTACCAATCAGTTAGAAGGGTAGGATTGATCCTACAACTAGAGCCAAGAAGAGAAGTGATAACTCCTATTTTTCTCTATATTTTTACGAGAGTTTGTCTAGGTTTTACAGGATAATCAAATGCATTAATAGCTATTCTAGGCGTGTTAGGAAACAAAACCCGATTGTGCTTTAGTTTTGCAGAGTTACAGTTTCGAAGATGATTGGACGTGAAAATGAGCGTTTTTGGAGCGTTAGAGATGAAGTTCAGATGAGGTATTCATGTTACGAGATCAATAATGTTCTCTACATAGGTCCAAATCATGCGAGACTTATACCATTAGAAAGAGCATTTCAAGAGCTTCGCGTAGACACCAAAATCACGTAAATCCGACTCTGGAGCAGAAAGTCATGAGTAAATTCGTGAAGAGGTCGAGTGAGTTGGGCCAAGTCAGATGGGCTGAAATTCCATTCGACTTGACTCGGTCCGAGTCAACTCTTGATTCGATCGAGTCAAGACTCAGAAAAACCCTAATTCACGATTCTTAGAGTTCTAATGGGAAAAGGACTCTTGGGAGCCACCCTAGGATTATAAAAAAGACCTAGCCACGTCCTAGAACATGGAGAACACTTACATTCAGACTTTGGAGAGCTTTGGTAAGAGAAATAGGAGTCGACGGGGTTTCAGAAAGAAAAAGGAGTGTTAGAACTGTTGGTTTAGTGCTTTATGATATACTTGATGGTTGTGATACTCTTTGATGATCATATGATATGAGAACTATGTATGATATGATGAATTCATTGGATGAATGCATTGTTTGTTCATTATTTATTTTGCATATTTGATAAATAGTTATATCCATGGATCGTTATGAACGATTGATACGTGTGTACCGAGTCTAGAATTTATATCCGATTCACAACTCACCGCAAGGATACGGGTCGTCATAACACAGGGTCGAACGCAAGGACCGGTAGCTGTCTAAATCCTAATCGAAACTAAATCGAAGCAATCAAGTAGAAGTGATGGTGAAAGTGTATGAAAAGAATAGAAAATAAGGAAATAAAGCAATAAAAACGTGTAAGCTATCAATCTAAGATGACCATGGGTGTCGAGACCGTATTCGCGTGTATGGGTATATGCTAAGTATGCGAGAATCACGATATTGAATTTGTATTCGGGAATCATCAAGCAACAAAGATAGAGAAATCACCTCCCGACATATGACTCACTATATAAAATTTTCTAAATCCATATCCCTATGTGATTTATCAAACTAGATGCATGAAGAACGCTATCATCAACCCTAGATCGATCAAACCATATTCCTATGTGAATAATACGATCTATTCTATCGATTTCGATCCGAAACTAAACCCATATTCCTATGTAGTTCATAATCTAAAACAATTGATCACGGGGTCAGCAAACATCAATTGACATGAAGTACAAATCGATAAAACTGAAACAAATCCAAATCGCAACCAAGTTAGGGTTCAAACATACCCAAAACACAAACGAATCCCTAACCCACAACTGTGGATCTACTCACGGTTCATGGAAAAACACAGAATAAAACCGGAAACAGAAACAAAAGAGGGAGAAGAAAGGCTAATGTCGACAGCAAAGCGATCTTCACGTTCCAACTCTCCTTCTTGATGAGGACATCAGAGCTAGCAACTTGGACGAGGAAGGAAGCTTAACGGAAGGAGCTCTAGAATATGTTCAAGACTTGACCAGGCGTCAAGACTCTTGCCGGATGATCATAACGTCACAAGATCATTCGAAGCCGCGGGAACGGGATTTGACGTGCACAACGGGAAGGCTCCCCGAGCAAGCCATAGACCCAAGCCCCCTCTTTCTCATGCTAGAGCTCGAGTGCTTCGTGTCATGCTATCCAAGGTTGTCACTCAAGTTCTTCACGGAGTCCGGGATCATGACAATATCGTTTCAGTTTTTCGGCCAAGACTTGACCAGAAATGTGTTCCATATCAAGGCCGAAAGCACTTAGGCCCAAGTGACTTCGAAGCAGGCCCATAAGCTGCCCAATTCAAGCCCAAATCAAAGTAAAAGCCCAGCCCATTAAAGTCTAAAAAGTTCCAACAACTATATTTTTCAAACTCTAGACACATTTATGAGTAGTCTTACATGTGTTTTGTGCATTTAATGCACTAGCTGTTGGAGCCTTTGTTTTTTTCTTTAAATATGAGTTGTAAGATATCATTTTGATCAGATTTGAATATTGGAAAGAAGTATTTTCGAGTTGAGTTTTACTCCTCTTGTTGGTGTGTCTGACATTGTCTCGGTTTGTCCGAGAAATCCCGTCTTGGTTTGTCCGAGGTTTGTCTTGGTTTGTCCGAGACCCTATCCTTCGTTTGTTGGTTTAGTGCTCTATGATGTACTGTTTATGAGCTTTCTTTAGATACATTCGATGTATTGATACTTTCTATGGTTTTATGAGAGTATTTGATTCATTACATGTTCTTGCATACTAGATCTATTATGAAATCCATGTATCATTATGAATGATACTAAACTCCCTAGTCTTGTGTCATTATGGGAATGATGACATAATAAGACTAGTATGATGTGTGATTGATGATCATAGAGATGATCATAGATATTGGATACGATCACAGTCATAGGTATTCGTTGGAGAACGGAATACTGGATTGACCCGCATGAGATTGTCACATGGACTAGCGTCATGACTTGAATCTCATATGGCGGTTCCATGATTGATCCTAAGACCTGAGATATCTACGGAATCCAATATGAGGAGTTGCGTGCTTTGAATACGTCAAACGTCCTGCGTAACAGGAGGACTATAAAGACGTGTATCAAGTACGAAACGAATCATGTGCTGGATTGTAGATAGTCAAGACGGGATTTGTACCTCTCGTAAAAGAGAGAGATATCGATGGGCCCCTCGTGTGAGCGAGACTGTAGAAATGTGTGGCCGCACTATAGACAAACGTCGTCTATTTCAGACAGTCGAACTCAGTGAACGAGAAAGCAGTCGAATCAGATAAGGTGGCTTGTACATGCCTTATATTCGACATATGATATCGCGATACAAAAGGATCACCAGCCGGAATCATCACTGGTGTTCGTAAGATCACGAACCAACTCTATTCGAGATAGGTAGTCATAGTGTCTTCCTAGAGACCGCCTATGACTTGTATATCCGAAATAGAGATTTCGGGTTATAATGCTATATCGAATGAGCCTACAGGGTCACACACGCAAGGAAGGACAAAACGCACGAGAAAACGACGAAAAAACCAAGACGGAAGAGTCTGGAACGGACGGACCAGAAGTCCAGAACGGACGGTCCGCC